TGGCTTTTCCCACGGGGCCTGGCCGGGCTTAGCCCGAACAAGCGATGTGGGGACGTCCTCCCGTGGGCCCCCCGCCTGCAGGAGGATTTGTAAGGGGCTGGTGCACAGTGGATCGGGCAGCAGTCAAAGGCAAGGGCCTCGACGACCCAATCTCTGGACACGGAGACTAGCCCTGGGGACATGGAATGTCACCTCGCTGGTGTGGAAGGAGCCAGTGCTTGTGCGGGAGGTTGAGAGGTACCGGCTAGAGATAGTTGGGCTCACCTCCACACACAGCTTGGTCTCTGGAACCTTATTCTGTGTTTCAGATGCCTCCTGGGCGCCTTCCTAGGAAGGTGTTCCGGGCATGTCCCACCGGGAGGAGGCCCCGGGGAAGACCCAGGACACGCTGGAGGGACTATGTCTCTCGGCTGGCCTGGGAACGCCGCGGCATTCCCCCGGAGGAGCTGGAGGAAGTGTCTGGAGAGAGGGAAGTCTGAGCATCTTTGCTTAGACTGCTGCCCCCGCGGCCCGGTTCCGGATAAGTGGAGGAAAATGGATGGCTGGATGGATGGATAGCACTGTTTACCAGGACATGTGTAACACAACAAGCCCGTAAACATTACTCAGTAGCAGGATATTCACATTTGTAATGAACTATGTCACTCTTTGTTTTGCCATCTCACAGATATATTACTGATATATAATAACTGAACAACTTTATGGAAGCTTTGAGTGGTATGCTAGTGGATTAAAGGCTGAGCCGTACCAGCAGTGGTGACTTTTTTTTTCTGTGTATTTCTGTGTCCAGGTTCCCCAGAGGATCACTTCCATCTCCCCAGCCTTGGTCAGGAAGAATTCCCCTAACGGAGGTGTGGGTCTGGGCCCTCAGGCTGGTTCTCCGCTCATACAGACTAGGTAACACTCAAAATAGCACTTCTTCTTACAATTTAATTTTTTGGGCGTGTTCACCTTTGTTAGGTGAAAATGTATATCTTTGCACTTCACCATCAGGTTAGGGGGCTTTACCTGTATTGTGTCTGTGTAGCATACGTCTCTTCAACGTCACCATCATGGTTGAGCAGTTTGTTGGAACCTGGACTTTGCCAGTGAGAACTTTGATGAATACATGAAGGCACTTGGTGTAGGTTTGGCCACCCGGCAGATGGGTAACATTGTGAAGCCCAAGTTGGTGATCAGTGTGGATGATGGGGTTATCTCACTGAGATCTGAGAGCATGTTCAAGACAACAGAAATCAAGTTCAAGCTGAATGATGAATTTGATGAGACCACTGCTGATGGCCGACAAACCAAGACAATTGTCACTGGCAATGGCAAACTGGTGCAGAAACAGATGTGGGATGGAAAGACTCGGGATGCTGGAATGAGAGATTCAAGAGGGAAAACTAATAGCTAAATGCATCATGGATGACAATGTTGCAATGAGGACGTATGAGAAGGTGTAATCATCTGGTGAATATCAAGCGGAGCCTGCAGCTGTTCGGACAACAAATGCACTAACCTGTTGCAAACATGCTAATAAAGTCTGAACTCTGGGGAAAAAACAGATGGGATAGCTCAGTGGGTAACACCACTGACTTTGGTACAGAAGGGTGGGGTTTTGAACCCTGGTCAGGGCATGGTCAATATCCTGCCTGGGTCCTTAAGCAAGGCCCTTAATGCTACCTGCCTACCTCATGTCTTCTATAAGCTCTGTCCAGAAGAGTGCAGCCCTCAGAGGACCCGAGCAGTCGGACCCAATCCACTGTCACACTGTGCCTGTTATGGCGCTCCGCACTGCACTAAAATGTCAATTGTGCAGTGTATTATGTAAATATGTCCTGTTATTACAAAGAGCTGACAAAAGAGTTAAAGCACATTCATTATGTTTCAGTAACCCAGACCTACGATGCTCAGAGCTCTCTCTGGATGCCATACTACAGAGAACGTCCTCCAATTCATCATCTTCCTCCTCCCCTTCATCTCAGGGAGGCTCAGCTGAGAGGAGAGGTACAAACACACACTCACAAACTGTGATCCCCAAAAATCGCTCATGCACACATGGACACACCTTCACTGGCAAATACATCTTTACGCTTTCATGCAAACAATTAAAAACTGTTGTGCGTACATGGCTTTTGTGCACACAGAGAAACACACACACACTGACATACGCGAACGTGGCTTTGGCGTGTTTCAGAGGCTATCAGCGGGACATTGTCAGTCACGGTTCTGCTCTGATCAACCTGTCTGATGTGCCCCGTTGCTCTCACCTACCTCCAGAGAGATATAGGAGAGGAAATGAGAGGGGGAGATAGAGAGTGGTGCAGAGGGATGTGTCAAACAGCAGGCCAGAGGGACATCTGAGTTATGCATGGAGCCCTCTCAGACAAGCACATGGCACAGAAAGAGGCTGAAGTATGGTAGGATGGGGTTTCGTCTTTGATGGACATTACTACCATTTTTCAGTCGGGTTGAAAGTAAATATGGCAGATATGTATACGATGAGACAGCATCAAGGTATGGTGAGAAAAATAATAAATCGCTTAAGAATTAATCAGTCGATTGCAATGTCATTGTCTGAGAATGCACAAATTCTTTAGTATGACACATTTTAGCTCTTTTCAGACATGCACTGGAACCCTGAAATTATCTAGACATTTCCTGGAGGAGCATTAGCTGAGAATGCAAATGTTCTAGTCAGTTGACCCGGACATTAAGCGGACTTTACCCTGCCAGCACCCCATTACAAAGTCCCCATGAAATCCCAGTGAACCCATGTGTGAAAACAGCAGTGTAGTAGTCCAGATTATTCACAGCAAGCTAGTGGGTGTGATCTTCTATCATGTGAGTGGCATGAAACAGGAAAAAAAAACAACATCAGATGGTGAAGAAGAGTGGTTATTTACAAAAAAGGAACCAACAAAAATATCTAATTGGAGACGCAACAAGATTCAGGAACTTCTGTCGTTAAGAGCCGGCACCAGAATCGCCAAGCAATTTTAAGGTACAGCTGAGAGAGTTGGTTGTTTATGAACAAAGTGGCTACATGACCGCGTCTTGTCCTGCCTCCTGTGTGCTCTAACCTGGCACGCCCCCTTCCATAAACCAAAGTATTTCCAGTAGGTGAGAATGTGTCTGACATGGTCTACCTCCTGTTGTGTGCTACATGTGTGAAAGAGCAGTTCTGGATAAAGTCTGGACCCGATTCTACAGACATAGTTCGGAGTTCATATGTGGAAACAACTTTTGATTGAAACTCTTCAGACAGTTTTGGAACCTTGTCTCCACTATATAGGTCAAAGGTGTATATAACTGCCTTGTTCTGATAGGTCAAACAAAGCAGGAGAGATCACCTCCTGGAGACGGTCAGGACACGAAGTCCAAACAGGAGGAAGGCCGTGAATCGGCCAGACCCAGCAGACCTGCAGTGAGTCACACAACACAGACATACACACATTCACTCTCTGTCACAGCTGTCTCTTCTCTGGGAATCTTCCACATTCCTCTTCTCTTTTTTTTCTGCTTTTCATCTGGTTCTGTCTTTCTTTCTTTCTCTGTCTCTCGTCATTCTTCAGAGCTATAAGAAAGCCATAGATGAGGTTAGTGACGCTTGAGTTCCCTTTCTTTTATCCCGGTTTTCCTTTTGCTTCGATCTTCAGAGCCCCCGTTTTCCCCCGGCATGGTGGAGTTAGTTAGTTTCACAAGTATGATGTTTGTTTCTCTTAACTGTCAAATATCAGGGTGTAATGGAGATGGCAGTGCATGTGTACTTCTACACGTATACCTGAGAGAGTGTATGTGTGCTTGTGCACTTTGTGTGTGCATGCATGGGTTGTGTGTGTGTGTGTGTGTGTGTTTGTGTGTGTGTGTGTGTGTGTGTGTAACCTGAACTGCCAAGCACCTGGACAGTCTCTGATCACCTTTCCTGTTTCTCTGTTGTCATGGTTACTGGTCAGGAGGAGCTGGTAAGCCCACTGTGTATGGCGGGGGGCCCCCCCCCCCTGTCTGCATGATTTGGTCTGATCCATTGAATGGGGAAGGGGAGGAAGGGAGGACGCACAGGCCAATGGGCATGGGGGTGACTGGTAGAGGGGACGCAGAGTGATGCTGCAGTCTAGTCTGATTATCTGTCTCTTTTCGTCTGATGGCCTGTTTTCATAAAATTTCTATTTGCCTGTGAGAGAATCAATGTGCACATCTGAGATCGCCACTCATTTGACATAAATTTTAGACTTGCTAAACTGAAGAAAAGTGGTTTCAGATAAGCACTCTTCTGGGAAACCTACTGTATGTTTACAGGCTCGGATGTTTGTCTGACAACAAATCAGTTGTCCTCTTGTCACGCTGCTGATGGTTTGTCCTGTTCTTGGCCCCTCTCTGCTTCTCTTGTCTTTGTATGTGATTCACTCCTCGGGTTCTGAGACTGATGATACAGAACTAAATGACCTTACTTATTTCTCCTCTCCCCTTCTATCTCTGTTCATAGGACCTAAGTGCACTGGCTAAGGAACTTAGAGAACTGAGAGTAGAGGAGGGCAGCAGACCGCCAGTCAAGGTATTATGGCAATTCTAATAATGATAATTGTTGCTACTGTATATTTAAGGGTAAATGCAAGACTACAGTCACCCACCTGGCCTTCAGGTAAAACAAATGAGAATAACAACACAATAAAGCTAAAAACCTGGTCCTTGTAAGAGCAGGACTGGGTAAGATGACAAATGTTTGTGTCAAAAATACAAACAAAACACAACTGAGCATTAAGCAGTCATTTTAAAGCCACTCTGTATTTAGTTAGAAAACACTTCCCTGGCTAATAGCAGCAGTGTTCAAGAATGTATTTTTGCCCACCAAATTCCTTATTCTGAGAGAAATATTATTGGTATCCTCTGATAAAACTGAAATACAGTAGCTGGTTGTGTAATCCTTCACAACTTTGTGAGACCGAGCTTTAAAGGTGCCCAGTGGCATTTTCATGTAAAAAAAGAAAGTAGCTGTGTGTGTTGAATGCATTTCCTTTCTCATGAAACATTTGTAAACCAGATTTTTAAAAACTATATTTACATCAGTGTTTTCTAGCTTGTAGTTTGTTCTGTCTTGCCTTTGTAGGTGAACTATGACATACTTTGTACGTTATTGTCACCAACTGTAGATTATCGGAATAGCATAAAATCAGCACCAGGAATATGTATGACATTTTCTTTATCTGTGTGTGTGTGTGTGTGTGTGTGTGTGTGTGTGTGTGTGTGTGTGTGTGTGTGTGTGATGCAAACAAAATGGGTACCCACTGGTGAAAACTGCGCCACAATGCTACTAGTGGTCAAAAAGTACATTTAGTTTGAATAACTCCACTGTTTTAACAGTGAGATTTTGAAAATGTGCAAGTCCAAATGGGTTTGGGAGGTAATTTAAACACGGCCATAATAAGTATCTTGTCTTATTACAGTGCTTTTTTTTTTTTTTAATGTGTGTTCTAAAGGTGACAGACTACTCATCGTCTAGTGAAGAATCAGAGAGCAGCGATGACGATGGGGAGACAGTGGGGCATGATGGGACTGTTGCTGTTAGTGACATCCCCCGCATCATGTAAGTTGATTGTTTTTGTGCTTCCCATTCACGGCACGGCTTTTCAAGCTGGATCTGTCAGGGTTCATTTGTGTTGAGATATGCATGCATTTGGAGTATGCGCTGTGCTAGTAGCTTGTCAGTATACATTTGACGGAATTGCTTTTACAAATGATCGGGTCTGTGCATGTGTGTGTGCGTGTGTGTGTGTTGCAGGCCAGCAGTGCAGAGTAGTGGAGAGTCATATGGAGGGCTTACAGAGGACTCTCTGGGAGATGCCTATAATAGCTCCAAGGACGGAACCCTGGTCATGAGAGAGGTGATGAACACGTGTGCACACACACAGAAAAACACATATTTAGTGAGAAAAGAAAGAAAAATTATTTTATTTACATATTCTATCTTCACTGAATTCCTCAACTCTTTACATTCTCCTTTTCTGTCTCCCAGGCAGAGGAGAGGAGGAGAGGCAGTCACACTGAGAGTAATGGGTTCGGGAATCACAGTAACCATGGTAACCTCCCTGACTTGGTACAGCAGAGCAACTCTCCCTCAGCCACACCCACCACCACCCTGCAGGAACTGGGTGACATGGCTGAGGTCAGACACACACATAACAGCCAAGCACAAAAACACACACATTAACTCACATGCCTGGTTAAAGTGCTGTGAAAAAACATGAGCTCAGTTAATACAGCGCATGGTAAAAATATATTTAAACATTATCTATAAAATAGGCTTTTGAATGAAGCACCTGATGTGGATTATTATCAGTTCTTACAGTGCCTATAAAATGTTTACGCCCCTTGGGTGTTTTTGTGTTTTATTGTTTTTCCATCACCAAAGAAGAATGGGGAAAATGTTCATGTAATGAGTGTTCACCATACAGACTGAAAGCTGTCAGAGGTGCATCTACCAAATAGTGACTGGGGGGATGATTATTTAGGCAAACAAGAAATTTGTATTTTAATTTAGAGGATGTTGTAGAGATCTAAAAGCCACATTTCATTCAGTGTTATAAGAAGAGGCTGAAAACTTGCACACTATTTATAGACAGTAATAAATAAGTATATTTGATTGCTTTGATTTGGTAATGTTGCTTATAGTATCTGCTGACTTATACCTCACATGACTGATTTTTATGTCACATATAACGGATAAGAAAAAGCTAAATCAGAAAGGGTGATGATAATTCAAGTTGCTCTGGGTGGTGTGCAGGCTGCTGTTGAACATTTACTCACTGTTTTCTGTCTTACAGTTTGGTGTAGGCGGGTCCAAAGCGTCCTTTACCCCATTTGTTGATCCACGTGTCTATCAAACCTCCCCAAGTGAAAACGACAATGAGAACTCAGCAGCAGGTAAAGAAAACACATTACTTTTCTGGTCACACATTTTACATAACAGTAATGAGTAGTGAGAGACAACTTTGATATTAAATTTTGCTTCTATCAAGTCTGCACAGCAGTCAAAAATTCAAATCACAGATTTCTTTCTCCATCTTCTTCTTCTGTGCCCCAGCCATGTTTGCTAATGAGCTGCTGAGGCAGGAGCAGGCCAGACTAAACGAAGCCAGAAAGATCTCTGTGGTCAATGTCAATCCTACCAACATCAGACCCCACAGTGACACACCAGAGATCCGCAAATACAAGAAACGCTTCAATTCTGAGATTCTGTGTGCTGCACTCTGGGGTAAGGGGGAACATTATTTATCCTTCCTGTAAAATAAGAACATTTTTATCTCCCGAATGCTTCCATTTGTATTTCTGCATCTAAAACTTGTGTATGTGTGTGCATAGGCGTGAATTTGCTGGTGGGGACAGAGAATGGTCTCATGCTGCTTGACCGAAGTGGACAAGGAAAAGTCTATAACCTGATCACCAGACGGCGCTTCTTACAGATGGATGTGCTGGAGGGGCTCAATGTGCTTGTCACCATATCTGGTATAATAGCTCTAACACACTTACACTTTATGCACATACACAAGAACATTCTCATATAAACACGCTCTATTTTTCTCACATGTTAAATATGAGTTAACAGTCCAGCATACACATCAAAATAGATCTTGGTCTTTACCTTGCAAAACAGATTGTAGCACGTGCATATTCCCAGTCAAGAAAAGTCTGGACAATACAGTATGTGTTTGATAAATAATTACATAATATTAGTAAAGAACCATGGAATGTGCCACTGTAAATATATTTTTGTTATAATAAGGAATTGTATTGCTTCATTCCAGTACAGTAATGTTGCCCTTATCTTCTTTCTCTGTCTGTCCCTCCCCTCTCAGGGAAAAAGAATAAGTTGCGTGTCTACTACTTGTCCTGGTTGAGGAATAGAATATTACACAACGACCCAGAAGTAGAAAAGAAGCAGGGTTGGATTACAGTTGGAGACATGGAGGGTTGTGTGCATTATAAAGTTGGTAAGAATCTCTGTGTGTGAGTATTTGGATCATGTGTAGGGCTGAGACCAATAAGTAGCCCTTATTCTTACTGGGCCCACTTGTCACTCCAAAGTGAGCTGAAAATGTCTTTTAAATAGAAGAAAAATTGGGTTAGATATGGAGGTTTGTGGCTGACGTCCTGAACCTCTAACCAAATGGGGAAATTGCAGCTAGAAAAGAGAATGGGCAGTAGTCCAAAACCGAGGTGCAGCTATATACAGATAGAAGCAAAACATGTATATGTATAATATTAGAATAGGTTGTAAAATTTCAAAACAAAGCAAAGTTATCTTTGTTCCAAGGATTTTACTTTTGCTATTAGTATATAGTAATTGGTGCAAACTGTTTTATGCTTTTAAGGAAGTTGCTGCAAAATATGGACTTTTATTTATCTTTATTTATTTTTAGTAAACTAGGATTGTATTCTGGTTTTGCTGGCTTCTTCCTTTTTTTACTGTAGTAAGTTTATGAAAAAATGTGGTCCTAATTTTGAGAAACAGTGTCTTTCTGTTTCCAGTGAAATATGAGAGGATTAAGTTCTTGGTGATTGCTCTGAAGAACTCGGTGGAAATCTATGCCTGGGCTCCCAAACCCTACCACAAGTTCATGGCCTTTAAGGTATGTAGGCACAAACGTCACAGATATGAACACTAGCAAGCACACCCTGTGTAATTTTCAGCGTATGCTAGCGTGCATCAAGACTGACAGTTTTATTATTACCTTCTGACTTTGTCTTTCTCACTCTTTGCCCCACACTGTTTCCTTTGCTCCATCATCATCCTCTATCACTAAATGTCTTTGTTTTCCCATCTTTCTGCTTCACTTGTATTCTCCTCCTTTACTTACTCTGTCTGTCTTTCAGTCATTCACCGAACTGCAGCATCGTCCCCAGCTGGTTGATCTTACTGTGGAGGAAGGCCAGAGATTAAAGGTCATCTATGGCTCCAGCATGGGCTTCCATGTCATTGATGTGGACTCAGGCAACCCTTATGACATTTACATCCCCTCACATGTAAGTGCAGGGTTGTCTTTGTATGTCTGTCTGTGTGGCTTTTGTAAATCTTTAATAAACGTGTTTTTTGAAAATGGTACTCTCAGCTGTGATGAATTTAAATCAAAACATGCACATGACAAGAATATGAGTCCATTTTTATTCCTTCATTCATCCACCTACTGATTTCCTCCCATGTCAATGGCAACAGTGACTCACCATACCTTGTCTCACGCAGACTGGCTTCTTTGAATACTTTTCTTGACAGGTTCCCTCTTTGGTTTGCTGTTGTGCAAATGAAAGATTGATGAGAGCTTTACCTCATTAAATATTTTTAGTTTTGTGTACTGGGCTGGGACTATCAGTGTTAAGTAGACAGAATGTAACTGAAATGACTGAATTGCTCTTAATATAGAAGACAAAGAAGTAGCAGCTGCCTCCAGATTTTCTGTTGCATTATTACCAAGAAGTCAGTGCATTCTTTTGGCTTATGTCTCTTTTCATTTAAAGTATACACTCAGTTACGGCCACTCAGTCACTCATGGCAGCTATAGGTATGAGGTTGAATACATATCAGTTTTGATACATGCATACATTTTAGTTTGTTCCATGGTAGCTTCACTGCTCACGTGCTCTTACTAAGATTGAATTCAAATGCAGTTCAGCCAAACTTTATTGGCAATATTTCAGTAAATATAAACTGCTGAATACAAATGTGAGGACACACTATTTTACCCCGTGTTCAGTTTGATGACCTAGATCAGCTGAGCCCAGGCCTTACAGTGGGCACGCCACAAGACTTATTGTTAAAGAACATACTTAACCACTTTTCATCAATGCTTCCTCTCCCTCTCTCTCCTTTTCTGTCACCTTCTCTTCCAGTGTGCCAAACAGATGAAGGTGATGTTCTGGCATCCCCCCTCCCCACAGATCTGTAATAAAACCCCATAGTAGACGCACGTGTCTATGTGCAGTACAGTTCATTAGTATAGACATTATTAGATGACTTGGCTAGAAACCGGTTTGAGTGAATAAATTCATCTTAGCAGACATCACACGGTTCATGCAGGAGTCATAGCTCCAAATTGCAGAATTACAGCGTATAAGCAATCTCACATATTTATAAGAATTAGTTTTACTAATTACTATCTCATTTAGTGCAGTGCTCTCAGGTGTTTATCACACACCTGTCAATGTTCCAAAAACTAGCCAACAACACAAGAGTATAATAAACTCAAAGTGGTTTTGCTTAGTTACAGTGCTGCTTTTTTCCTCTTTGATCAATGTGCACAGTAATGTCCTTCCTTAATATGGCCAGAATTAGCAGAAGTGCATGTCAATTTGCGTGAGTTCTTTTATAAATGTAGTTTCATTTGGGCTAAGATGAGTTTTTTCACTACCCTGTCACTCATTTGCTGTAGTGATATGATCCTTTTTGTGCTCCCAAGGTGTAGTTTTGAGTCGCACCTTATGATAACATGTTAGTGCTAATATTGGGGTTTGTTGGGCTACGCTTTGGATAACATGCACAGATTCAAGCAGGGTCTATGTGTACTACTCTTGTCACCTCTTCTGATGTGATTTCTGTTAATCAAGGGCAGAGAAACGTGCTGTAGTGTGTCTGTTGCTCATAATGCTGTTTGATGCACCTGATATTTGGCAGTCGACTAACCTGCTTTTTAAAAGATTTCAAAATGCAGGCTGGTCCAAAAGAACCAGCTAAATTCTGTTGCATTAAATGCCTGTGATGAAGCTGCTGTAAAATTTTAATCTAATGTGGATTATGATTAATTTGACAGACTTAATTAAAGCCTCTGAAGCGTTTGCGTGTGTGTATCTGCATTAGATCCAGAGCCAGGTGACACCTCACGCCATAGTGGTGCTCCCGAAGACTGATGGAATGGAAATGCTGCTGTGTTATGAGGACGAGGGCGTCTACGTCAACACCTACGGTCGAATCACCAAGGATGTGGTGCTGCAGTGGGGAGAGATGCCTACCTCTGTTGGTATGTCACCCCCACACTCTTATATTTACGCCTGTTAGGTTGATATTATTGGAGTCACCCAGTTTAAAGATAGAAATTTAAAAACTGCCAAGCTTGAAGTTAAGAGGTTTAAATAACTACAGTGATATGCCAGTTCCTGTTTCACAGCCTGTGTATATGTGTTTCTTTGCAGATGAAAAGTGTGAGAAATTAGTTTTTAGGGGTTCATTTAAAGTTTAATTACATTCAGAAATCAGTTTAAAACATCAGTGTCCATAGGAAGGCCTCAGAGCTGCTTAGCAAGTAAAACAAAGAGCGGGGGACTGGGTGTAAATGTTTGGGAACTAGAGCGAAATGGCTAAACAAAATGTGTAAAAATGTGAGGGAGTAAGAAACAGGGAGCGAGAGAGGAGATAAGAGCAAGAGAGTGCAACAAAGAAAGGAGTATGTGCATAGAAGATATCACTTAATGTAATTTCATGTGTTCTACTGCCCTCATTTGGCAGCCATGGGTATTACACTTTATACTGCTGTTTAGATTAGTAGCATCTGCTGTTTTTTCTTAAAGATGTGATTAAAATATCATCACTGTAAAAAGAGACATGTGATGTCAGCTAGCTGTGCTGTCATCAACATTTCCACAGTCCTGGTTTACAGTCTGCTCTGACTTCTAGTGGTGGAAAAAACTAGTGCTATTCAATATTAATATAAAACATGGCATCATTACATGATGTAATATTGCTACAGCCTCCAAAAGAAGCAGTTCATTGCTGATTAACCTATTGAAACAGCATTAAGATGTGTCTTTTGTTTATTTATGTACTCAGTAAAATGATGTATGAATATATATTTATTTATTTTTCCATTGTCACCTACACCTCTCTTGTGTTTTTCCAGCCTATATCCATTCTAATCAGATCATGGGTTGGGGTGAAAAAGCGATAGAGATCCGCTCTGTGGAAACAGGTCATCTGGATGGAGTCTTTATGCACAAGAGAGCCCAGAGACTTAAGTTCCTCTGTGAGCGGAACGACAAGGTAAAACTGCGTGTGCTGTGTGTGTTCTCAGTAATCAGTCAGAAATACTGAGACAGACTTAACCTCCTCTTCATTTGTACCCTGTCTGTAGTATTTGCTCATACAGTACACAAGTTTTAAAAACACCGACTCTTAGCATGAAGTTGGGTCGACATTGCACAGATCTTGCCCCAGACAATAGATCAAAACTGTTAAATTGTAGATTTATATCAGGTGAAATTTTAACCATAATGTAAGAAAGGAAAGGTAGTAAAAAAAAAAAAAAACTGCATGAAGTGTATCTGGGGAGATTCTTATATAAAACATAGACGTACCTTTTAACACCTATACTGCACTTATAAATTTAAATGCATGAAAATAATAGCCTTAATATTAAGAAAAGGGACCTGTTGATGTTTACATCTGTTATATTATTCTGTCTCTCTAGGTATTCTTTGCATCAGTGCGTTCAGGAGGCAGCAGCCAAGTTTTCTTCATGACTCTCAACAGAAACTCTATGATGAACTGGTGATGGCTCTTCCCGCAGTTCGCTCTGCCTCACTCTCTTATTGGTCAGCCCGGCGACACATCTCACAAATGAACCTGATTGATAGAGAGGCCAAAAATGAACTCTTACAACACTGGAGAGACTAACGTGGTGCGGGAAAAGTTATCTTAAAAAGAAAAAAACCACCTGTTCTAAATGAAGAGACCTGTTGCCCTAGATTATGTTGGGTTTTGCAGAAGCCATCATTACTGAACAGCCTGGCAAACTGGTGCCAGTGGCTTTCCAAATATTCTGTGTCTGTCTGTAACTCTTTGTCTGTCTCTTCTTTCTGAAGAGACTGGTGCATTCAAGTGTTCAGCAACTGTAGAAATACACTTTACACCTGTTCCCTTTTGTTGCTCCTCTTCTTCATTTTGTCCTTCCTTCTTAAGCCTCTGCTCCTTCCCTCCTCCTTGCTGGATTTAGTCATCACTTTTTTATTCCTTTGACACCCATGTCCTCCATTTCCCTCACTCTCTGTCTGCCATGTCTGGGCTCATTTCCTGAGAACTGCACCTCGGAGGGCGGAGGAAGAATAGATGAATGAGATTTAATTTGAATTTAAATATATCCCTGTGAGTATGACAGTGCAGGGAGGACAGCTGAGGGATGACAAATCTATTCTGCGTGTCAGCAGTGAAAGCAAACAGCCTGATTGATTTTCTTTCTCCTTTGTCACTCCCCTTCTCCTCCTCCATTTCCTCCTCTCGCCATCTTTTCGGGTTCTAAGTAAACTGAACTGTGATTTAGTGTTTGATCACAGTTCACTGATAGAGATGCGGTGACTCTGCTGTCATAGGCGGATCTCAACAGTATGCAAAGATGATGTCTGTGTCCCTTTAAAAAGAAATTGCTGTTCCCTTCTGTCTTCTTCTCTACTTTCTTCCTCTTTCCGTCTGCCTGTCATCCCACCCTCTACGCCACCATCATCACAACACTCATCTCCTTGTTGTCACTCTTTAAACTCTGAAGGTGCTGCATCAGATATACTGTAATATTAAACAATGAGAGCATCATTCTGCTCATTCTGGTTGTTTTCTCTTCTTTTCTTTTGTCTGCGTAGCAGTTTGAAGTCAGCCAGTCTTTGAATCTTGATGAAATGTACAGCACATTTGTGTCTCTGAAATTAAGAGTGTATGTTAATATGTGTGTGTGTGTGTGTGTGTGAGTTAAGTGAATGAGTGTTTAACTTAATGTTGAAATGAATCCTGTTCAATTCAGAGTGGGATGCTGAAATCGATGTTGCTGTGCGTGAACCTTTACCTTAATGCGATCAAAGCAACACTGAGTGTGTTTACATGCAGATTTAGTTTCTAAGTTGGTGAATCTCTACACCCCACATTTAAAATAGGCAATATTAGTGGTTAATGTTTTGTTTTATTTCTTCTGGAGTGTGTTTCTGTTTCCTTTAACACAGTAATGTTTTGGCTGTTCATGGATTCAGCCATGTTGCTGGAGGAGACATGGCATAACCCGAACACAACCTCAACAGGATATGAGCTACTAACCCGAATACTGTGTGCATGTGATAGCACTCACTGTTGAAAGCTGTGTGGTCCTTTTGAATCATGCTCCTCTGAATCGTGCTTTTGATTTTGGCTCCTAACTGTTTGTACAGGGCCTAGTATGATGTAAGCAAAACTAAAATGGAGGCCAAAAGATTCTCGCACACATTATTATTTTTTTTTGCCTGTAAGTTTACTTTACACTGGGGGGGTTTTAGTGTTTTTGTTTTGTTTTTTTAATCTAATTTCAAAACATTACTGATGTTACTTTTCTTATCTAGGGGAGATTGACATCAACAATTTGATTTATTCTTGGAAAGGATTTTATAACACTAATGAGAGCGGAGTAGTTTGTGCATACGTCCATGTTGGAGAGCAATGTAATGAAGATTAGTCTTTTTATGATGGCTCTACTATAGCTTTGGCAGTTTGGTGGCTTATGCTTAACAAAATTAAGGTGGCACAAAAAAAAGATTAATTCTCCAATGATGTAATGATCATTTGAATTTATTTTTTTCTCTTCAATTATTAAAAGCTTTCTGTTATATTTTCATCATTTCTGTTTGGGGGAGTGGGCTAACATTTAGCAATAAAGCCAAGCTCAAGAAACCGCCGTCTTCCCTGCGTGTGCATATGTGAATGTGTTTGCTGTACATGATTAATGAGCAGGCGCGAATGGGGCATTATTACTGTGTTTGTCTGTTGTGAAATTCACTCTTCCCATTGAAAAATAATTGGTCATTCCACTGAGGACTCTACTTTTAAAGATAAAACCACTGTTTTTTTTTTCTTCTAGTTATTTCTTTTATTTTGAAAGAGCATTACTAATGTTTTGGGATTTATTTGTTTTGTAAAAGAGATGCTGTAAGAGAGAAATAAATTAAACTAGAGCATTACGCTTCTGGAGTTGTGTGTTGTTTTGTGGATGTGTTTGTGAGTTTTTTTTGCAAGTGTGCACCCGGGTATCTGTGTCGACCCTCAGACTTTGACCGCTTCTCCAGTGTATCATTAACAGAAGTGAGTGTGTGTGTGTGTGTGGCAGAGAGAGACAGAGAATAGTGTACAACTATAAATAAATTACAGATTTGAGTCCTTGTGGTAGGAGTGTGTTTGTGAATGCAAGATATACAAGACTTCTTTTATCTTCAGATAACATTGTAGATGTGTATGTGTGTGTATCTGTGTGCACGCATGTGTTTGTTGATTAATGAGTGAACACGGCGTGATCAAGCACGCAGGCTTTACTGATCATTACCAGTCTCCTGGCTCACACTCTGGACCCATCATGGACTCGGGAAAGGTAAGACTGTTCTTGACCAATCCATTCTTTACCTGCATTTCTCAAAATGGTTTTATATGTTAATAAGTAAGTAATAAGTAATATTTGGGTTTCTTGTGTCACTACATTGTTGCACAAACCTGCTGAGATATTAAGCTTTATGCTCTGAGACAGTTATATTTACCAGGCAGACCTGAGTAAAATACAGGTATGTGCCAAAAAATTAGATCGAGGGAAAGTCCATTTATTTCAATAATTTGTTTCAAAAAGTGAAACTTGTATGTTATATTAGTTCACTGCACACAAAGTGAAATATTTCAAGCCTTTATTTGTTTCAATTTTGATGATTATGGATTAAAGACAAAAAAAACCCAAATCCAGTATTTCACAAAATTAGAATAT